ATGTATGAATTCGCATCGCGTTCTTATTGCGTTCCTGTTGGGAGGGAGGAGCTGCGGGGAGTTAGGGGGGGGGGGGGCGCGGGGAATTCATATTGCATTTCTACCATATAATATTGGATGCGCATGGCAGGAGGGGGGGGAGGCGGGGGGTTGGCGCGGGGGGGGGGGGGGGGTGAGGTGGGGAATTCCTATTGCATTCCACATGTACACTTCTTCTTGTATACTCATTGGAAGCATAACCATAGATTCACATTTTATATGCGAACAGCAACGCCCCCAAGAGGTCGAACGATGTTTCACCGTCCGAAATGCAACTTTGATACGGCCTGCGCGGCCGATGGGGGCTCCCAGAACAGCCCGGCCTCTGTAAAGCACCTTGGACTTCTCGACGAACGCCCCGTAGAACACCGCCGCGATCGTCTCGGCCCTCCTCGTCTTTATCGGCGAGAACCCTTTGATACATGATGCTCGCCAGGGTGCTCTTGCTGTAGATGGTCTCGAGGATGGCCGACTTTGTGCCCCTCGGCTACAAGGCGGACTGTCCTCGGACGTAGGTGTTGATCATTATCGAAGCGTCCATCGCCTCGCCTGCAAGCTGGCATTGGCGCATCTCGGCGCAGTTCGCTTCCTCAGCCAAGTAACCGAAGAAGCTGATTGGTCTGCTCGCCTTGCTCGGCCATCTTCTTGGGCAGCTCGACCACCTCGCCGCTCTGGGTCTGGGAAACCTCGGCGCGCCCCGAACTCTCGGAGAGCGCCATAGCGCTCGGGGAAGCTCGGTGGATAGCTGAGGAAAGCCCGGCAAGAGCTCGCCAACCGTCCGGGCTCGAAAACCGCCTGAGCCGCGAACAGCAGCGGGGAGGGGGGAAGGGGAAGGAGAAGATCAAGCGCTTTGCTTGATACATCCTCGGGAAGCTGATAGGCAGTCGCGAAAAGGCGAATATTTGAAAATGTGCGTCTCGCCCGACACGTCCTCACAAGAATGACATGTTCGCGACAGCTGCAATTTACGCATACAACCGTTTTGCTTAAAGCATTATCGAAAAACTGATCGTGCCGAACTGGGCGACTCGTCGGAAATGTGAATTCCGCCTGGGACATCCCTACAAAAATGATATGTTTGCGACAGTGCATGTTACAAAAACCAACATTTTGCTTGCGACATCATCGAAATACGGATAGTCGCGAAATCGGCAGATCCTCCAAGGATATTCATGGTGCCACGCAGGAGACGGAAATCAGAGCTACGATGGGAACTTTAGAAGAGACAATACACTTCGGCCTCCCTGCCTGCGGTTTCACTTGAACCACATTCAATCCCGTGGACAAAGAGATGCCACGGGAAAGGGGGAGGATGCTTTATCCGCCGACCCCTTGGGGTTCATCGGCGCGCGAGATGCCCCCCCTCCCCAAACCCCTCCCCCGGGAGCCCGGTCCGGTTCATTTGGAGGGGGGGGGGTCCGGCCGGACGGCCCCGGACGGCCCCGGGCGGCCCGGAACCCCCCGGAGGTCTCATCCGCTCCCGAAAATCGCGGAAAAACACGTGAAAATCGTGTAGGGACGCGTCTGGTGGCCTCGACATGGGTTTGGGACGCCCCACGAGCGCTCCAAGACGTCCAAGTTGGCCCGAAGACGGGCCACGAGGCGTCCTCGACGGCAGAAGAGGTCCCCACGAGCCCCCCCGAGGGCCTCCGAGATGCGTTCCACAAGGGTCCCCAGACGCAAAAATTGTGCCATTCCCTTTGTGAAAATGTACATTTTTTAGAAATTCAGCTTTGGATCTGTCCGATGCTCCCCGACGGCCCAGGAGGCTCCCAAACCCGCTCCCAGTCGGCCCCAGAAGCCTCGCAGAGGGTCCCCCACAGACCCCTAAAGGGCCCAAGATGGGCCAACAGGCGTCCAAGACGGCCCAAGAGGGCTCCGAAAACAGCCCCCAGAGCGTTCCAGGAGCGCTCCGAGTTACCTCCACGAAGCTCCACATGGTCCCAGACGGTCCAAGAGCGATCAGAAACATCGACGACGACCTCCCGACGGCTCACGAGGCCTCCCCAGACGCCCCCACAGGCATCCAAGATTCCCTCCAAGAGGCCCTCTAGACGCAAAACATCGCTCGTTTCCTTCGTCAAACGTATATTTTTTCCACACGTGCGCCTTTGGGGGTGCCCCCCGCTCCTGGACGGCCCCAGAACCACCCAAACCCGCTCCCAGACGGCCCAAGGCGCCTCCAAGAGGGTTCCCATTGAGCCCTCGAGGGCCCCAAGACGGGCCAACACACGTCCAAGACGCCCCAAAGGGGCCCCGAAAACGGCTCCGAGAGCGCTCCAGGAGCGGTCCGAGCGGCCTCGACGAGAGCTCCACATGGTCCTCGACGGTCCAAGAGCGATCCAAAACGCTGACGACGGCCCCCAGACGGCTTGAGAGGCGCCCAAAACGCCCCGAGAGGCTTTCACGATGCGCCCCTGGAGGGCCTCTAGCTGTGTAGAATCGCCCGATCCCTTCGTAAAACGTATATTGTTCGCACGCGCGCCTTTTGGGGCGCCCCCTGCTCCGGGGCGGCCCGAGAGCCCCCCAAGACCGCACCAAGACGGTCCAAGAAGCCTCCACGAGGGCCCCGCGACAGGCCAAGAGGGCGCCAAGACGGGTCAAGAGAGGCCGAGGACGGCCCAAGAGAGCCCCGAAGACGACGCGCGCGCGACTCGCGGTTAGATTCCTCGCAACTTGCGCTGCTTCCCGCCGCGCTCGTCACTTGCCTCCGCAGGGCGTTTCGGCGGGTCTCTCCGCGGCGCCCGCCCCGCCTTATAGCACTTGGCGCGAACCACCAGAGCGCCTCGGTGGAAATAATTCTCCCCCTGGGCTATCGACAGATGGCCGCCGTCAGTGAACATAGGCTTTGATCCGTCCTTCTTCAGGGGACATGCGGAACAGTCCAACTTCTTCGCCACCTGCCTTTGCTCGTGGCACGCTCGGCACACCGCCGAGCGATGCTCCGAGCCCATCGCGAAGGAGTGCTCCACCTGCTTATCTGTCAGATGCGTCCTGTCCGCGAATTCTCGCTCTGTGCCATCTGCTTATTTCGGGCACGCGGAGCACGTGAGCACTCGCGGCCGATTGCGTTCTTCCTGGCACGCGCGGCACATGACTGGGCGATGGTTCGAACCCGCCGCGAGGAAGTGCTTCGCTTGCGTATCAGTCAGATGCGTCCTGTCCGCGAATTCTCGCTCTTTTCCATCTGCTTCTTTCGGGCACGCGGAGCACGTGAGCACTCGCGGCTGATTGCGTTCTTCCTGGCACGCGCGGCACATGACTGGGCAATGGTCCAGACCCTTCGCGAAGAATGCTTCACTTGCTTATCTGTTACGTGCGTCCTGTTCGCGAATTCTCGCTCTTGTCCATCTGCTTCTTTCGGGCGCGCGGAGCGCGTCAGCGCTCGCGGCTGATTGCGTTCTCCCTGGCACGCGCGGCACATGGCTGGGCGATGGTCCGAACCCTTCGCGGAGAAATGCTTCACTTGCTTATCTGTTAGGTGCGTCCTGTCCGTGAATTCTCGCTCTTTCCCATCTGTTCCTTTCGGGCACGCGGAGCACCTGAACACCCGCGATCGCTTGTGATGCGCGTCGCAGTCGCGGCATTTCACTGGCCTATGGGCTGCGCCCGTTTTATAATCGTGGTTGATTTGTTCTGTTGTCAGATGCGCCGCGTCCGTGAATTCCCGCCTTCTTCCGTCTGTGTCTTTTGGGCAGTCCGAACACCTCAGCGGCTGTTCCTGGCGCGCGCTTTGTCGAGCAGTGTTCGTTGCATTCATCCACCCCGTTTTCCTCTGCGATTGGCTCCACTTGTTCCATCCGCCTGTCCTCTTCCCGGCGCACTTCTTGCAGAGCTTCTCCCCTGCGCCCTTCGTAGCGTACTGGTTCGCCGTAATTTCTGCCTCCGTCTTCACGAATTCACAGCACTCAGCGCAACGGATATTGAATTTGTCTCGTACATTCTGCTGCCACCCCTGAGACTCTTTCCGCGACTTCCTCCGGGCTGGTGGCCCTGCGCACCTGTCGCATTTGCTTGTCCGCACGAACACTCTGATCCTTTCGGACTCGGCCCCCGCCACTCTGGAGACCATCTCGGCCCATTGGTCACAAATCGTGCACCACTTTTCCCCTGCTCCCTTCAACATCTCCGTGCACTCGCAGCAGAAGCTCGGGCCCGACTTCGCGCCGAACTCATTCGTGCTGAATTCAGCCTTTTCCTTCACTTTCCGACATTTCCCGCATGTTTTCCGCGGCACCAACCTCTCCAAACAGTCCAAAACGGCCCAGACCCAAGACAGTCCGAACAAATGCCTAAGACAGCCCAAGAGGCGGCCAAGACGGCCCAACAGAGCCCCACAACGCCACAGGAAGTACCAAGAGGCCTCTAAGAGGCACCGCGAGGCCACCAAGAGGCGCACACGAAGCCGAAAAAGACACCTTTGAGGCACAAGATATGCTTCAAAACGAGCTCCCAAAGGCACCGACACCGACAACATGAGCGAAGGCGACGCGCTGCGAGCCCCCCCAAGGGGTCGGTGGTGTGGCGCAAGCCCAAGAATCATCCGGGGGACGGGCCTACGGCTGCAGTCCCAGGAATGGTGTTCTGGTACGGTTTAGGATTGTCAGGACGCAACAATCGCCCTGATCCGCGGCGTTGAAATCCCAGAAACGGTGCCCTGGCACGATTGAGGACTCTCAAACTGTTGTCTTCTAGCATGGTGCACTTCACGCAAAGAATGCAGGAACCTGTGAAGAGGGAATTTGAAAGAAGGTTCATTGAGAAATCGCTGATGCGTCTTAGAGTTACACTGGTCCCTCCTCCTCCTCCTCCTCCTCCTCCTCCTCTGCCTCATCCTCCTCTTCCTCTTCCTCCTCCTCCTCCTCCTCCTCCTCCTCCTCCTCCTCCTCCTCCATCATCTCTCCTCCCAGCTCCTCCTACCTCTAAACCATATGCCTGAGCGCACGGGGAAAGGCGCGATCCTGCATCGCTCCAGCGACCGGCGCGAAGAACGACCACGGGGTGATATCCTCGGAAGGGAAGGTAAAAGAAAGGCGGGGAGGGAGGTGGGAGGAAGGAAAAGTGAAGAGGGAGGGGAAGGAGGAGGAGGAGGAGGAGGAGGAGGAGGAGGAGGAGAAGGAAGACGAGGAGGAGGAGAAGAAGGAGGAGGAAGAAGAGGAAGAGACGGAGGGAAAAGGGAGGACGAGGGAGGAAGGAGGAGGAAGGACGGAGGCAGAGAGGGAAGGAGGAAGGCAGAGAGTGCGGGAAACAAGGAGGGAACCCACACGATGAAGCAGGTTCGCCCGCTACGACATCGGGGCGCGCAGGGCCCATTCACCATTCGAGCCCTCGAGGTGCCCACCGAAGGCGAGGGACCATCCGAACAGCAAATACAGAAATCACAAAATCAACTGGGAATGTTCACGAAAGTTGCCGGCTTCCCCTACAAGTTCGACCACGGACCCCTTGTTACCCATCCGCGGCGGGCGATCTTCGGACGCCTGTTGGGGCAGTTTTCGGCGGTTTCTGGCGGCCTTCGGCGATTCCCCGCGGTCTTCGGTGGTTTCCCCCAGCCTTTGGCAGCCTTCGGCGTGAGAGCTGGACGCCTGCGTTTAACAAGAGATCCATGATCGAACACCACATGGCAAGGCTGAACCTAAACGGCGTTTTTCGTTTTCGTTTTGTTTTCGTTGTCCCTCGCTTTGGTCTCGAATCCGCCTTTACTGCAAACGAAGTCGAAACGAAAACGGCACGCAAAATTACCAAAAACACCTGCCTGCCACATGGGAAGGGGAACGCACGAAGCCGAAGAGCGATCCGAAGCCGACGCAGGCCGCTGCCGCCTGCGGCACGGGCGGCGAAACGGAGCGTGGCAGGCAGCTGGCGGCGCAAGCACGCCCGACTGGCAGCCTAGGACTTCTGGGGCGGCTTCGGCAAGCAAGCCGAAGATCGGGCCACGCCGTGACAGAAAGGCATGCTGAAGGGGCGCGCCCCAGAGCCGTGGCGCCACCCCAATCCGGCCTCGAACGAACCTGTTCTACATCCCCTTGGGAGGCGAAAATGCCATACATGCTGCCTCACGTTGGTCTCGGGGCTCTGAGAAAAGTCTCGCAAATACTATGCGTTTCGCCTGGAGTCCCCGCAATCTGCTGGCGGCGAACGGGCCCGTGATGCACCCCTGGTCCGCTCCGCGTTCAAGGCCCAAACGGCATGCCTGCTGCATCCCGGTAAAACTTAGGCTCTGCAAAGAGACACGTATACTCTGCCAAAACATGCGTTTCGCCTGAGAGGTCCCCTGTATGAGCGCGAACGGTTCCGTGATGCAGCTGTGGCTGGCTCCCCCCTTGGGGAGGCCCAAACGCCATGCCTTCTACATCGCTGTGACCTTGGGGGCCTGAAAACATATACATGAGTGCGAACGAGCGTGGGCAACGCTGAGTACGAGTCTGAGTGTAGCGAGCCGTGGTATGAGTGTGTCTGAGTCTATGGATTCTGGGCATGAGTGAGTCTGGGCATGAATATGAATGCGGCGAAGTGAGATTAACTCTGAATACGAGCCTGAGTGTGAGCCAGACAGAGTATGAGTAAGTCTGGGTCTGCGTATTTTGCGTATGAATGAGTCTGAGCATGAGTAAAGCCGAGTATATCCGAGTATGAGTATGAATGAGTCTCAGAGTGCGAGTCTGAGTATGAGTGGATCTGAGTCTGAGTGAGTACGAGTCTGAGCGATCGTGAGTGAGTCTGGTCGTGAGTGGGTCTGAGCATGGGCGGGTCTAAAAGGGAGAAAGGCGAAGGTGAGACGAAGCAGACCAGCTGTTAAGAATAATGCCATACTCAAGAAATCAGTATCCAAAAATAGACATTCGGAGCTACGCACGGATTTCAGGGCTGTACCTCCCCGCGGCGCCACTGGCGCCGTCCCTGGCGCGCATCCCGCTGATTGCATTGGTCGGCGCCAGAGGCACCGCCAGCAGGCTCCGCGCGGCACTCCGACTGCATATGTTTATGTCGTTTCGCTGGTCCTCCACTTCGGGCCGACATCCGCCAAGATCAGGGACCCCACGCCAAGACTCTGGAAGCCTGGCTTTGGTGGGTACCTGCCCTCCCCCGGGGTCCTCTCCGCGGACGGCGTCCTTCTCCGTGATCCACGCCCAAGTCTCGGGGCGGCCCCGCTGCTGGAAACACCCCTTCCTTTGCCAGCGCTCCCACCTCCTCGTCAGAGCTCCCCCCGACCTCAGGGAGGTGGTCACTGCCCCCCCCCGCTCTCTCTATCGGTCTCCCTCTCTGTCTCTGTCTCTGTCTCTGTCTCTGTCTCTGTCTCTCTCTCTCTCTCTCTCTCTATATATATAGGTGTTGCCTCTCTCGCTCTCTCTCTCTCTCTCTCTTTCTCTCTCTACGCGTGTATATATGTATGTAAATATGTACATATACGAAGAAATCGATCGGCGGCGTGTGAACTACAAAGAGCCTCAGCAAGAGCTCCAGCTCTGAGCCTAAGCAAGAGCTTCAGCTCTGCTTGGGGGGGTCGCCCGGGTGGCTCTGCGGGGGAAGGGGGGGAAGGGGGGCGGAGCGGTCCCCCATATGGCGTTTTCTTAATGATTTGCGCATCCCCAAAATGTTTCGGGGGATCCGAGGGACCCCCCTCAGATCTAGCCGCTACCGCCACCAGGACTCTCCCCTCGGAACCCTCCCAAGACCCTCCCCAGGGAAGTGGGGGAAGGGGGGGGGGCGGTCCCCCATCTGGCGTTTTCTTAATGATTTGCGCATTTGCGCATATCGCGGCTCTGCGGCCTCCTCAGGAGGCCACAGAGCCGCGAAGATCACCGAAACCGGAGCCCCCCGGATCAGCGGCACTGGCCTGAGGCCATTACAATACATACATACATGCATGCGTGCATGCATTCGTACATACATACATGCATACAGGCAGGCAGACAGACATGCACGCGTACATGCATACATGTATACAC